AAGGAAAAAAAAAAGCCTTGATGCTTCTGAGGAGCCCTGATCCTAATTAACTCCTGGCTAAAGAAGTAGCTACTCAGGATCAATTCCTTTAGATCCTGGTGCCCACTAGCCAGAAGATGGGGAGAGGTCATAACCAATAACCCTAACACAGAGCATGAAAAACCTAGAGGTCATGCAAAGTTGAGAGCAGATTCACTGGATGAAGTTGTGTATTTTATGCACCTGGTGGTGAGAGCAAGCTGAAAATGCCTCTTTCTAATTATTTCAACTAAAAATAATGCCATTATATAATTGATACAGAAGTGCTGCTGCATAGGGTAGTAGGGGCACTGATTGAGAGACTGGTTTCTACTAAATCAGTATAAAAAGACATTAAGTGCTATATAAGCCCTATTGGATAGAGATAATGGGAAACAAAGGGGTAGGTTTTGGGCACCTTGGAACATCCTTACCCTGTGCAGGAAACATACTCTCAAAGAAAAAGCCAGGGCATGTTGAAGTACCAGGCCCCTGGGAGGTAAGCACAGAAGTGAGGAGGTGGACAGGGGCTAGAGGGGTGCCAGCACAGCATGGAGTATGGTGCTTACTTCATAACTTTTTGTGTAGAGTCATATTAACAACTTTTACCAGCTAGGGGCTCCTGTGCACCAGCCCCCAGCTAGAAGATAGCCCAGAGAAGTATGGCAGGCTTAGGATTTAAGAACTGTTGGGATTAGTACAAAGGTAAACTTAGAGTTTTGTTCAAAGCTTCTGAGCTTTAAGTTAGCAAGTTACAGGGGACACGTGAAAACTAGTGAGAAATGATAGTGATAGTTTGCTTCGTAGAGTTGGGGGCCTTGATTATGAACTATCTTAAGGGTTACTACTATCCTGAGTCCCTACCTGAGAACCTCTCTTTCCTCTTAAAGCACACATGTTCCTGGTTTAGCCTTTGGATACACTGCAGAGATATATAGGCAAGAAACTTTTGGATTAGAGGTCCTATTGCCCTTTGAGAAAGCATGAACATTTGGCTCTACCTTCTATACTAAATGAACTCATTAAGCCTTCTGAATGTTGGTTCACTTGACAAGACAGATTAAAGTCTCAGGTGTGTTCCTAGGAGGGCAGGAAATAGTCAAGTTGCTGCTAGATCTGGAATGGATGTCTGAGAGACATGGATTGTTATAGGAAACTTGGGAACAAGGGAGAAAACCTGGGCTATGAAACTTTTATGGAAAGAGACTCGTTAAACTGATAGTGGGCCTGAGAAAATAACCATATATACTAATTGCCAGTGCTACGGAAAGATTTCTTGCCTCAAGGTCATGTCAGCTCTCCTCAAAAGCAAACCTTAGAGTTTTGTTTCCTTTCCCACCCACAGGTAACAGTCCTTTGGACAGCCCCCGGAATTTCTCTCCAAATGCACCTGCTCACTTTTCCTTTGTTCCTGCCCGTAGGTAAGTTGATAGAAAACCTCTGGGACTAACACATGTGGCACTTGCATGAGGGTTAATTGAATGTCAGATTCCTCCTTAAAGAGTCACTGCTCATTCCAGTGTATTACCTGAGGCTCCCATCCATCAAAACTTTCTCTTTGCTTTTCTCTTCCAGGTTGTAATCATCGCGTTCTGGTTTTGCTTTGTAGGTGCCCCACGTATTTGTGTTTGAATGTTTGAACAGGAGAGTAGATATTAAGTAAAAGTAGATTTATTTTTATAATTCACTTTTTTTTTAGTCCCTGATGTCCTATGGGTGTGTTCCAAAGCATTATACTCTCAATTGAGAGTTATCCTAGAGTGATCAATGAGAAAATAACCTCTCCTCCAGGAGGACCGAAAGTTATTCTCTTTGTCCCCTCTAACTCAGCTAGTTTAAAGGGGCTGGAAGGGCCCTCTGTGCCTCTCTCCTTGACTTTGAGCTGGAGTTTGTGTGGCGGATAAAGAGACTACAGGGACTTCACTTTTCCTTCCAAGTATTTAGAAAGATTTGGTGCATAGAGAGCCATGCTTATAGTCCTCTCATGTGTCTCCCCTCTTCAGAATGATATAAACCTGTCTCTGGCCCATGGCAGCAACACTGACAGCTCTGCCTGTGGCTGGAGTATCATCAGGCCTTTGGAGAAATCTGAGCTGAGTGAGATTAATCCATCCAAATCACATACCTAGGCTCTGTACACACATGATTTCTTTCTTTCTTTTTTTAATTTTTTCACACATGATTTCTTGTCAGAACCTTTTTTTTTTTTTTTTTTTTTTTTTTGAGATGGAGTGTCACTCATTGCCCAGGCTAGAGTGCAATGGTGCAGTTTCGGCTCACTGCAACCTCCACTGCCTGGGTTCAAGCAGTTCTCCTGCCTCAGCCTCCCAAGTAGCTGGGATTATAGGCATGTGCCACCAACCCCAGCTAATTTTGTATTTTTAGTAGAGATGGGGTTTTTCCATGTTGGTCAGGATGGTCTTGAACTTCCAACTTCAGGTGATCCACCCACCTCAGCCTCCCAAAGTGCTCGGATCATGGGCATGAACCACCGGGCCCAGCTCTTGTCAGGACTTTCCTAAGATTCTTTGGCAGGTTTATATTTATTATATTTTATTTTTTACTTTTAAAATTGTTCTTGGTTAGAGTTAGTGTGGTATAAGACCTGCAGGAAAATTATGGTTCCAGATTTGTAACCTTTAAGGAATGGAGAATGTAATATAGCTGGAGGCCAGAACAGTTTTTGTTTTTGTTTTGTTTTGTTTTGTTTTTTTTGAGATGAAGTCTTGCTCTTGTCCCCCAGGCTGGAGTGCAGTGGCGCAATCTCGGCTTACTGCAACCTCCACCTCCTGGGTTCAAGGAATTCTCCTGCCTCAGCCTCCCGAGTAGCTGGGATTATAGGCACCTGCCACCGTTCCCAGCTAATGTTTTTTATATTTTCAGTAGAGACGAGGTTTCACCATGTTGGCCAGGCTGGTCTTGAACTCCTGACCTCAAGTGATCCACCTCAGCCTCCCAAAGTGCTGGGATTACAGGCATGAGCCACCACACCCGGCCAGCCAGGACAGTTTTAATACTTAGATAACTTTTTTAAAAAAGACATATTAGGAAAAAGGGAGGCTCCCGGAAACAGTGTTAACTCACTGTTGCAATGATAACCCAAAAGAAATTCATCCTCTTTCCAGGATTCTTTGTAGCTGAAAAGAAGATGAGGGAAGGTTGAGGGAAGTTTGATGGCTGACTTGGGTTTCCCCTCATCAACCCACTTGCCTTATTCAAAACAAATTTTATCCAGGTTTGTTCCACGGGCTCATCTCTCCTACCCTGTGAAACTTGCAATTTGTTAAGCAAGGATCCAGATAAGATCACTTACAGTATAAGAATATGCTGGATTAATGCATTTTTCCAACCCAACTGGAAAGACTTATCCCAGGCTTGCTTAACAAATTGCCTGGACTGTATGCGTATGAACTGTAGTCTCAGAGTAGGTACAAGCTGGGACAGCAAGACCTGTGGCCAGATCCCCATAGGTGGCATTGAGTTATTTCTCATTCATTCCATAAATATTTGCTGAGCACCATTAACTAGACCCAGGTGCGCTCAGCTGGGTGCTTAGTTATGTATGGGTAGCAAAACAGGCATAGTCCTTACTTCCCTGAAACTCAGGATGTGAGAGAGTCTGTGTACTGGTTGTTTCCTTTGTAAGGAATGCTATTCCCTCTGTTCTTTATTTAAGTAACTCATTCTTACCATTCATGTCTCATCTTAAATATAATCTCTTCAGAGAGGCCTTCCCTAAACATTCAGTCTAAAGGGCCTCCTTGTAATTCTCTATCAAATCATCCAGTTTTATTTTCAAACTAGTACTTTTCAATTTCTGATATTTTCTTATTTGCATATTTTCTGTCTTCAACCACAATCAAATCACCTTTAATAGAGATACCTTCATTTGTTGAAAGCTATGTATCCTGGTGGGGAGACCAATGAGTAGTGGGAAAGAAAGACGAACAGGTATATGGTTATAAACTATGACAAGCATCATAGAGGGAGACAGCATGATGTTGCATGAAAGAACAGGAAGAGGGCCAGGCTCAGTGGCTCATGCTTGTAATCCCAGTACTTTGGGAGGCCAAAGTGGGCGGATCACTTAAAGTCGGGAGTTTGAGACACGCCTGGCCAACATGGTGAAACCCTGTCTCTACTAAAAATACAAAAATGAGCCAGGCATGGTGGCGCAGGTTTGTAATCCCAACTGCTCAGGAGGCTGATGCAGGAGAATCACTTGAACCCAAGCGGTGGAGGTTGCAGTGAGCTTAGATCGTGCCACTGCACTCCATCCTGGGCAACAGAACGAGAGTCTATCTCCAAAAACCAAAAACAAAAAAAGAACAGGAAGAGACTAAGACCAGAGAATCTCCACTGGATGGCCATGTCAAGCCTCTCTGAAGGATGAGAAGCAGCTGCCACGTTAGGTGTGAGGACCCATTCGAGGCAGAGGGAACATCCTGTTCCATTGATACTGTGTGTCTTTCATTGCCTGGGTTTATGAGTAGAACCAACTAGGAGGCTTCAGGACCTGGTTTTTGCCACTGAGACCCAAATAGGTCTGTGCTAGATGGCATGACATTTGAGTCATGTGTATGGAACATGGATCTCTGGGCTGTCCTCTTATAGAACATAGTAGGAAAAGCTGCTAGTTATTGGTGTGGATGGGGAGAAGTGTTTCAACCCTGCCAAACAGATTTATCAGGAAATGTCTGTTTCTGGTTATGAGGTCAGGCTGGCACTTTGGAGAATCACATTAGTTTGCAGTATCAAACAAAAGACAGATGGAATGAAATGCTAAGGATAGACCCATTGGTCCTACAATTTCACTTCAAACTATCACACATTCCTAAACAGAAGGAATGTGCCAAGCTAGACCAAATACCAAGGTTCAAAAAGACCACTCTCTCTGGTTCCTTTGGTTCTCACTATAATGTGTATTTTTTTTACTACAGCCATAGCCACAGAGCTGACAGGTAATAGAGGGTATAATGGGAAGAGGGGCTGGGAAACTGCTATGCATGGCCAGACAGTATGGTTTGTGATGTTGTGGTTGGTGAAAACTGGTTGTGATGATTCTTCTCTGACTGTGGGTATGAACATTGGGCCTTTCCTATCTTGCAAAGAGGCCCAAAGGGATCTCCCTCTACCTGCTGGAATCAAGGCTCAGAGCTCATATGCTTAGAGGCAGGAACTGCTGAATATTTCCAAACTTCTGAGCTTAGGGACAAGTCACCCTTATTCCCACAACTTTCCTCAGTCATTCAGGTGACTGTGGTGACCCGATAGAGGAAATAAATGCATCATGTGGTGGCATTTTGTTCCTGACTCTGGTGTCCCCTGCTGTTCATCATTCAGAGAAATAGCTGCCATGCAACTGACTTTTATTTCTGTTTAAGGGGAGGAAAACTCACATGTGCAAAAGTATATTTGACAAAGGTTTGGGAAATCCATCCCTGAATTATACTTGTCTCATCTTTGCTGATCTGTTTTCCTGGAATGGACTTGCTTTATTGCGTAGTGCTCCCAGGACCCAGCAAAGAGGTCAAAAAGAACATCCTGTCTGAGTACCTTCCTGGATGCATCTGAATCTCAGAGACTAGGTTCCAGCAGAATTACAGCCAGTATGTGCTGCTACCAGGGTAGCATGAAGTTTGAGTCATGTGCATGTGGCATGAAACCTTCAACTTAGGAAAGCTGCTAGGTATCAGTGAGGGTGGGGGGGAGTGCCTCAAAGGGAGAAGCCCCAGCAAGATTTATTCCTCTTTTTGCTTCTTCTTCTCCCTGTCCCTATCATAACCATGAAGCCTTGAACAAATCACCCAAATCTTAGTGGTTTTCTCCATAAATTGTAATATGAACTTGCAAAGATTCTCCATTGCTGATAGTCTAAGGTTCTGTGAGTAGCAACAAAAAAACTTTGTAGCTAACTTCAACCAGAGCAGGCTGTACCCTCAAGCTCTACAAAAAAAGAATACACTACATCCCACAGTCCAGGCAAAGAATTACATGTTCATATTATAAATGTTTCAAACTAGATATCTGCTTGATCTTTCCCCTCTACAGTAAAGCAAATAACTGGGGGAGGGGTTAGTTTGTTTTGACGAGTGCTTTGGGGAGCATCCTTTTGAGAGCAGCAGGAAGCCTCCCCCAGAGTCTCAAATACAGCCAAGGGTATGTTACCTCCCTTCTCATTTGTAAAGTTACCGTCGCTCTTTGACAAATATTCCCAAAGACTGGTTTTATGGGTCCTTATGGCTCCTAGGCATCCTATAACTATTTGCCATTGATTAATGCTCAGTTCAGACCCAGATGGTGGTCCACTTCTTCCTGTTGTCAGCCAGTGGCCTGAGGAAGACCACAGAACCCTTTACATGGAGCCTTCCAAAATGGAAATAGCTGCATTTCAGTGGCAATTCTATCTTGTGAAGATGCCTGTAGCTGGAATCCTCTGTCATTGTTTCTCTGAAAGTAAGTTGAGAGTATGAAAATATTTATTCCAAAACCACAGTGTTGGGTGACAGATGTTCTTATGTTATTCAAAGTCATGGACTCTTTTATAGTCAGAGATATCTGTCTTTGCAGGGAAAACAACAATAGGCCCTCTGTAGGAGAGAAAAATAAAAGCATGTACTGGACTGAGCAGTAATTTCTTAAGGAGGAGCCCTACAGTGAATCAGCTGCCTCAAAATGCTGATGGACAGACAGGCAGGTTGTGGGTCAGGGTAGAGTCCTGTAGAAACTGTCTAATACTTTTTTCTTGCATACAGGACTGATGGACGGCGCTGGTCTTTGGCCTCTTTGCCCTCTTCAGGATATGGAACTAACACTCCTAGCTCCACTGTCTCAGTAAGTAGTCAAATCTATGGCCGTACTTCCTTCACCCTGAGAAAGTACTTTCCTTTGGGTAATGGTTCTCAGCTTTTTCTCCAAAGGCAAACTCAAAGAGGTTGCTTAGAGATGATGCAGAGTGCACGAGACGGCTGGTGTCCCTTCCCAGCCATAGCCAACTCCATAAGTGCCTTCAGAAAGGATGACCAGTGCCCTCTCTGGAAATAGGTTACTTCTAGTGGAGGCAAAGGAGGGCTTGACGGTGAACTTTTGCTTTGACAGTGAGACCAAATATGAGGGCTCCTAAGCACACTTCTCCTACTCCTGCATCCTTATTTCTAGAACTGGAACCAAGAGCAGATCACATTTCTTATATCCAGAAAACTTAGTAGTAGACTTTCCCCTCTTTTTCACCTTTTTCTTTCAAAAAAGAAGGGAAGAATGATTGTTATTTGATATCCAAGTTTGATGCATCTGAAGCAAAAAGCTGGACCCATCTCTAAAATGTTTGTTGATTTTGGAGAATGTTTTAGCCTAAAACACAAGAGCTGTACTACTTGCTGCTATGCACAGTTGACCCTTAGTAAGTCCTCATTGAGCAACTTTTTTGTTTTTTTGAAACGAGAGTATCACTCTCACCCAGGCTGGAGTGCAGTGGTGTATTCATGGCTCACTGCAGCCTTGACCTCCCCAGGCTCAGAGGATCCTCCCACCTCAACTTCCTGAGTAGCTGGGACTGCAGGGGCATGCTACCAGCCTATAGCAGGCTAATTTTTGTATTTTTTGTAGGATGGGATTTCATCATGTTTCCTAGGCTAGTCTCAAACTCCTGGGCTCAAGCAATCCATCTTCCTTGGCCTCCCAAAGTGCTAGGATTACAGGTGTGAACTATCACACCCAGCCGAGCAACTTTTTGTTAAAACCACAGTGCCATGGTTGGCCAACTTTTTCTGTAAAGGGCCCTATATGGAGAGTTTTAGCCTTCGGAGCCCTTACAGAACCAGACCGTAGACCTGCTGACCCCATCGCCATTTCTTGCAGCATTCTTCAGGTCTTCCCTGCTTAGTGTGCCTTTATTCATGAATCTTGAGCAGGGAAAAGGAGTACATTTCCTTTCCCAACCTAGATATTACTATCACATTAATCCAAAGATGTCACTGGTCTTTGGCAACTGTTTAAGATCATTCCCTAGTAAAACATCCCCTTTCCAATAACTCTTTATTAAAACAAGTGATTTTTTTAGAACCAATGTATGAGTTTCATATATGTATAAATATTCCTTTTCTGCAAATTTTAATAGACTTAGCCCAGTGCTCTAGCTTATTAGGATTCTTTAAAACACCAGTTTTGTCCACTGTAGTTTACATTGCCTCACCAGTTTCATGTTAGCTATAGATGGTGAGAATACTTTTTGCAACTTTGATCCAAATCATTTATTAAAGTGTGGCCAAGAAATAACCCTGTGGCGATATCTCACTCACTGTTTATAACTTCTGTATTATAGTATTCTATCAGAGTAAATGTGTACTGTTAGCAAAAAAAAAAAGCTGATTTCTCACTTAGTATTGATCCTATGACAACAGAGTTATCTCAGTGTGGTGCTTTAGTTTTGATTCTTAAATGGATTTAGATATTTAAATTCATTTAAATATGGATTTAGATATTTAAACACAAGCACAGTAGCTCAGGCCTATAATCTCAGCGCTTTGGGAGGTCGAAGCAGGAGTTCCAAAAGACCAGCCTGGACAACACAGCAGGAACCTGTCTCTTACAAAAGAAAGAAACTGGACCTGGTGGCATGCACCTGAAGTTTCAGCTACTTGGGAGGCTGAGGCATGAGGATGACTTGAGCCCAGAAGTTTGAGGCAGCAGTGAGCTATGATCACACCACTGCACTCCATCCTAGACAGCAGAGCAAAATCCTGTCTCTAAAAAAACAAACAGGACAGGTGCGGTGGCTCATGCCTATAATCCTAGCACTTTGGGAGGCTGAGGCAGGCAGATCACCTTAGGTCAGGAGTTCAACACCAGCCTGACCAACATGGAGAAACCCCATCTCTACTAAAAATACAGAATTAGCTGGATGTGGGGGTGCATGCCCATAATCCCAGCTACTCAGGAGGCTGATCATTTGATAAATAGAACTTGGGCTGAAAGTGTTCAACTTGCCTGTATTCTTTGTCAGTCTTATCAGGTAAGGGGAAATTCCCCAGTCCTGGGGCTGAATGGGTGCTTCAGCATTAGCTGTATCTGTGGAAGTCCTGTGATAGCACAAGCACCCTCCCTCAGATGGTGTGTTGAGATTGGCAGTGGGCTGTTGTCAGGAATCCTCAGTCATTGAAACATGTTTAGAATTCATGAGTGTATTCATGTCACATCTAATCTTCAGGTTCAGATATAAAAGTAATTTTCTTCCCTGCTGGTGTCCCTAAAGTCTGGGCACAGCCTTCACAGATCCAGCAAAGGCATTTCTCCTCCAGATAACAGCCAAAAGGAAACATTGCTGAGCTGCCCCCAGGGTGGCTCTCTCAAGATTGTGGACTGGAGAACTTAAGAGGATGTTATTTGCAGCTGGGCACACCTAGAACATGTCCCAAGTGAGGAAGCATGATTTATTAACTACTTTTGCAGTTCTAACATTTCACGAAGATCTGGGCCCAACTTTCTGCACAACTCCTGAAGAACTCTAGTATATTGGGTTCCCCAGGGCTGAGGGCTCTGAAGCGCTGGAGAAGAAAAAGATCATGCACAGGCAAGGCTAAGGGAGTAGAGGAAAGAAGACCTGCTTTGGGTTTACAGTGACTGGGAAGTTCCCTGACCATTTTCAGTCCTTCCCCGTTCTTGGACTGCCCTGGGACATGTCTTTAATGCTGCCTGTTAATGTTTTCCCCTCTAGTCATCATGCTCCTCACAGGAAAAGCTGCACCAGTTGCCTTTCCAGCCTACAGCTGATGAGCTACACTTTTTGACGAAGCATTTCAGCACAGAGAGCGTACCAGATGAGGAGGGACGGCAGTCCCCAGCCATGCGGCCCCGCTCCCGGAGCCTCAGGTGAGGGTGTTCTCTGCCCACTGTCCCAGTGGATGTGGATTTCAGTTTGTTTGCATAGCACAGGGATAGGCACACTTGTGCCATAAAGGGCTAAGACTGAATATTTTTAGGCTTTTTTATAGATCATATATCTCTGTCACATTCCTCAACTCTGTTGTTGTAATATGAAAGCATCTACAAATAATATATAAACTTCATTTACCAAAAGAAACAAAAAGGGTGGCAGGCCAGAGTTGGTCTGCAGGCTGCAATTTGCTAACCCCTGGCATAATACATTGGCCAGCTTGAGTGAGTCAAGTTCAGCAAAGCCCAGGCCCTTTTTGGCTTCAGGTACAGCTCAGCCTATCACCCCAGGAGGTATTTAACAATACTGTAAAGTGGTTCCTTTCTTATTCCCTTAAAGGTAGATAGCAGCAAAAATATACTTTAGATTACATCCGGTAAAAGGAGAACAATGGTATCATCCATTCTGATGGTTGTCTGGCTCCAGAACCCATAGGCCCTGGATATATGAGCTAGGCCAGCTAAAAAAGTTGCTGCTGAAGACAGGATGCTGGCATGGGGAAGAAGCCCATTTCAAAAGCAGAATTAAATGTCCATTTGAATCTGTCTTTATGAATCACCTGGGCACATCTTCATCAAACCAAACAAACCTTAACAGCTGCTGATTAATTTTCTATTCTCATTGGCATTAACTGGTAAATTAGTGCCAGAATTTTAGGTTAAAATGAACATGACTTTAATGACTGAGCTCACTTTTGCAGGGTCCCTAAAAAGTAATTAATTGGCTAATATCTGCAGTCTAGGATCCCAGAGGAGCAGCAGTTCCTCCCAGAAAGAATCCCCTCAGGTAATGCTGTCACCACACCAGGAGTGACAAGGAGTAAGCTGGGCCAGACCACAATGACTGGTTCAGGTTTAGAGATTGATGAAGATGATGACTGGGACTTCAGTGCAAAAGGATCAGGCATACAAATGAGCAGGTGTGGATCCCCAGTACCTTTCTCTGTCTCACAGAGGAACACCTGAGTCTTGGTGGTCTCAATAACCCATACATAGAGAAGGGTACCTTGTAGGCAAGTTGAGATTGGGAGGCCCACAGTGTTGCTCAGAGAAACCCCTGCTGTATTACTCTTAAATCCTTGGTAATGTGCAACAGAACAGCAGGCAAAACATGGCACATTCCAGGGACGAAAGACAGAGTGGGACAGTTGTGAAACTAGCACATCTGGGATCATGTGTCAGGGCAGGAATAAGACCCATATATCCATTTAACTATGTGGCTCCAACTTTGAAATCCTTTAAGGAGATATAATCACACATAAGCCAGAAGGGGAGATTTAGGTTATCAGGGAAGATAATAAATTAAGGCAGAAAACATACCGGCTCTCTTCAGTAAATGACCCAAACTTGTAACTCACAACAGTCTGGACTAGCTTCATTCATCCACCAGGTCAGAGCCCAAGTTAGGTCCACTGGCTGCAGCTAGTTTGGAAAAAAATGTACATGTGCACAATCTTCCTTTGGTTGTTTTGGTAGTTGTTTGATTTACTTTGTTCCCAAAAATATGCCGGGGCACACCCAACCCTACTGGCAAAACTAAGAGGACACAGAGAATCCTACTCTGGGGGAGGTTATCCTAGGAGAGCCACCAGTGAGCTTAGGAGTAGGTCCCTTTCTAGGTCTTTCTAACCTGGCAGAAGTCTGTCAAACCCAAGCCTAGCTCCATATGGTACCATTTTGAACTGAACGAGGAACACTGGAAACTCCAGGAATAAGAAAGGCTCTAGAACTCAGTAGTCATTAAGGTACGTGTATGTAGGCTGCTGAAGACAGAGTCTCTGGGGATGGCTATCTTTCTCCTTGTTAGTTCCATAGCACTAAAGTAGCACAATCATTTCTTTCTTTTTCAGTCCTGGACGATCCCCAGTTTCCTTTGACAGTGAAATAATAATGATGAATCATGTGTACAAAGAAAGATTCCCGAAGGTAAGGATGCATTTAAAAGGAGAGTGGCAGTGTCCCCCATGGTGGCTGCCTATAGTCAGCCCCAATGGGAAGACTCTGGAGTGAGGGAATGAAGTGCTACCTCCAGAGATAACCAAGAAGAAGAACAGAAAGCCAGGAGGCTGCGGACACAGCACAGGGGCTTCCAGAGTACTTGAGAAGGAGACAGCAGGAAACTATGAGTTTGGGGACTGCATTTGCAGAGCCTTTATTTCTTCACTATCCAGAAGTAAAGTTATCCAGAGGGGAATGTCAGAAAGGTATCCCAGCATATATTAAAGAGGAAAAAAGAACTGGATGCTTTATTTCTCAATGTGCGCGTGAGGATTCATGAGTCAGGGTTCGCTCATTACAGGATTTGCCATCTGATGGCACCTCTATTTGATAGAGATTTCTTAAGCAGCTCATCATTACCAGATGTCAGAGAGTACACAGACAGAAGTAGGCTGCATTGGCAAGAAGGCCAGAGGGAGCAGTAGAAGTGGGAAACAGATCTCAGAGTTGCTTGCTAACATTTGAATTTTTATTTTCAAGCAGGAAAATGCTGAGGGGGGAAAGTAGATTGGTATCCTGAGATAGCTAAGACGTACCATTCACAGCTTTGTTGTTTGGCTGTGAACCTCCTTATATATGGAACTAGGGCCTTGTTTCCCATTTGCATGTCTTTTTTCTTTCTTTCTTTCTTTTTTTTTTTTAAAGAGATGGAATCTTGCTCTATCACCCAGTCTGGAGTGTAGTGGTGTAATATTGACTCTCTGGAATCTCCGCCACCCAGGTTCAAACGATTCTCCTGCCTCAGCCCCCTGAGTAGCTAAGACTACAGGCATGTGCCACTGTAGCCAGCTAATTTTTGTATTTTTAGTAGAGACTGATTTTGCCATGTTGGCCAGGCTGGTTTCGAACTCCTGACCTCAGGTGATCCACCTGCCTCAGCCTCCCAAAGTGCTGGGATTATAGGTGTGAGCCACTGTGCCCAGCCCTGTTTGCATGTCTTTTTCAACACCACATGCCTGTACACTCTGAACTGGCCTTCTGAAGATAGGCCCTATTCCTGACGGAGAGAGGATACTGGACTGCAGAACCTGTGCCCTGTGGTCTGTGCTTTATAGCTTTGGAGTGGGCACTGGAGAAAAGAGTGAGGAAGGAGGCAGAACAAACAGCTAGGAATTCATTTTGATGTACATGGTGCTTATGAAGTGTGGGAGTATATAATGTTGAGAAATGTATCTCATGCGTGTCCTCCTCCTCCTTGTATATTAGGTGTTTTTGTACCATTGGATGTTTGTGTTTATAGGCACTTTTCCAGTTCCTTCCTATTGGATGAACTATTGTTAGAGGAAATGCGTTAAGATTCCTTCACTTCCTTCTTCCTCCTCTTATTCCCACTCTTTTTCCCTCTTTCTCTTTCATTCTCCACATAGACACACCGCATATATATATGTATGTAGGTATACATTTGCCTAAGCACACACTGGAAATCAGAAATCACCACCTGGTGGCAAAAGAAATAAGTCAGAATCTTAGATAGACAACTAGGAACTCGTTCACAGATCTGTATTTGTCGTTTTGACACGACTGTGTCGTTAGGTCCCTAAGAGGCTTTGGAGCCAAACCTTCATTCTCCTCTTCTGGGGATCCAGGTCATGGTCATGTTCCTATCTATAAGGCCCCCCATTCCAACTTGCCATCTGTGACCAGGCAGGTTCACTAAGCAACTCCCCGAGCACCTGCCTAACTCCCTTGGGTCCTAGGGTTAAGTAAGAGGATCCTGAGATAAATGAAACTCTCTCTGACTTTAAGGACTTCCCAGTTTAGAAACCAGCAGAGTCCATACATTAAGTTTACATAGTTCGGAGGTCTAGGGGAAGAACAGAGGAATGGAAACCCTAGTTTGCCTGGGAAAAGGAAAGACTTCCCAGAGGAGACAATGATGCTTGAACTGAGATTAGAAGGAGAATTAGGAGTTTGCCAGGCAGGCTTGGCAGGGTGAAAAAGCCATACACAGGGAACAGCATACAGAGGCATGAAATAGCATAGTAAAGGAGGAAGATAGCAAACACTTGCATGTCCTTATAGCAAAAGAGCTTGCTCTGCAGGGAGTTAAGGAAGATGGGCAAGGCCAGATAAAAGAGAACCTTGAATATAAAGCAAAGGCATCTTGACTTAACTTGAAGGTGATCTTTTAATGTCTTCAGTTATCAGGTTTCCCAAATGCGGTGTAAGGAAACCAGGATTACAAGGAGCCCATTATTCTCCTATTTCCAGATCCTTCAGGCTTAGCTCCAACTGAGCTGGGACTAGAGGGGAAGTGTTTCTTTCTTGCTTTTCTTCCCAGGCCACCGCACAAATGGAAGAGCGACTAGCAGAGTTTATTTCCTCCAACACTCCAGACAGCGTGCTGCCCTTGGCAGATGGAACCCTTAGCTTTATTCATCATCAGGTGATTGAGATGGCCCGAGACTGCCTGGATAAATCTCAGAGTGGCCTCATTACATCACAGTACTTCTATGAACTTCAAGAAAATCTGGAGAAACTCTTGCAAGATGTGAGTGTCCTTGTGCTGGGGTTCTGGTAAAACCTTCACCTGGTATTGGATTCATAATCCCAAGCTAGGATCAGGGCATTAGTGGTATTCTCAGTCTTAACAGACTGCTTGTTACTCACCCTCACGGGTAGTGCTGATGGACTTAGATTCCTCCTCAGTTCCCTGCAATACTGAGAGAAGCCTGCTTGATATCAAAAGAACTCACTTCTGTTCCATTTCTAAATCCAAAGTTATATTACTCTGCATGAAGCTCCACCATTGGTAGTATTCATAAGTATTTGACTAGGAGTTTTGTTATACAAAGCCAAAAAGTGGCTCCAGTGGCTGTGTTGGGCTCCATTCTCCTGGCAATACTGATTTAAGCAGAACCTTCAGACTGTTTATCCTCAGCCAAGGGACAGCAGGTATGAGGTTTAGCCATTTGCTTGATGAGAAGTTCTCCAGTTGGGAATTACATGCTTTGAGACCTGATCCTCCCCTGTGTGAAAAAATCTCTGGGAGGCTAAAGGTAAAGTAATCCAGAGATGGCCAAGACCAAAGCATATGAGAGTTCTTAAGCACTGCTTCCTGCACTAGCGTTTCCTTTGCTATCAGCCTCTCAGTAAGGTGGCCAGATGCCATCTCACTCAGACCACAGCAGTCCATATTATCCATTAGTACAGTTTGAGGGAGAGACGATGTGCCTGTCTTCCCAGAGCTCATCATTTCACTAAAGAATTCTTCAGTCCAGAACCCCTTATTACTTCCAGACCAAGACCTCTGTCTAGAGTAGTACCAACTGAGCTGAGGGCCCCATTAAAAGGATACCATTGTGTTCATCTAGAAATAAGAAGGAGCAGGGAGTTTAAACACATTTTCAGGAAACAGTTGAATCTAGAGAAAGGATAACTAAAGATGATCATGATTACTGTTGTCAAGTAGTGGAAAATTTCTCATATATAAAAGAGAGCAGATTGTTCTCAGTACCCCTGGAAGACATAATTAGTCCAAAGGGCATGAGTTACAGTGAGAAAGGTTTTGATGTAATAGGTGAAAAATTACTTCCTTCTATGAAAATGTCTTTTTCTGATTTCAAAAGAAATATCTAAAATCAAACATTGTAGAAGTATAATTTTAGAAAGCTAGAGTCCCCTGAAAATCACTGGTAGCTGTTAGTTTCTGTTCAAGAAAAGCTTTCTGACAGTTTGCCAGCAATGGAAAGGGGTACCCCAGAGACATTTAGGCATCAGGGATTACTGTATCAGGTAAAGGATTAATGTGAAGTAACTTCCAAGTTTCCTGGTACATTTAAGATTGATCTTCTAAAATGCTGAGATCAGAGTCTTGCCCAAAACCTTTAGGCATTTTCCCAGACTGACTGCCAATGGGGGTAGGTTGTTTGATACAATAGGAGCACTGAGTTTGGAGCCAGTTTGTTTGTCTGTTCCCTAATTTGCAAGACCGTTGGAATGTAGAAAAGAATTCGTTGTAGGCTCTATCTTAGGGAATTTGCCATCAATAGGGTTACAGATTCATCAACATGTACTTACAGTAAAAATAATCACTGTTATTACACTGAGTATATGAATTCTCTCAGTTCCACTGACTACAGTACAACGTAGTTGTACTGTAGTTGAGATGAGCACCAGGGAGAGGTAGATTCTGAGCACAGAGGAGGATATGCTGATTCTTCGTGGAAAGTTCAGGGAAGGTTGAATCTTAACAGACAGGTAGCATAAAGCTAGGAAACAGCATAAACAACATCTTGGTTGGGCACAGTGGCTCCTGCCTATAATTCTAACACTTTGGGAGGCCAGGGTGAGAGGATCGCTTGAGACCAGCCTGGGCAACAAAATGAGACCCCCCTCTCCACTATCCAAGTGTGGTGGCATGCACCTGTAATCCCAGATACTCAGGAGACTGAGTTGGGAGGATTGCCTGAGCCCTGGAAGCCCAGGCTGCAGTGAGCTGTAATTGTGCCACTGCACTCCAACCCAGATGACAGAGTGAGATCGTCTCTAAATAAACAAATAAGTAAATAACCTCTGAAAGGTGTAAAGAAACTTAGTATATTCCAGAAATTGCAGATGAAGTAGTTTGGCATGACTACAGTAAAAGATGCCCACAGGGGAAAAGCTGGCAGATTAATTTTTTTTTTTTTTTTTTGGAGACACAGTCTTACTCTGTCGCCCAGGCTGTAGTGCAGTGGTGTGATCTTGGCTCACTGCAACCTCTGCCCGCCAGGTTCAAGCAGTTGTCCTGCCTCAGCATCCCTAGCAGCTAGGATTACAGGCACTTGCTACCACGCCTGGTTAATTTTTGTATTTTTAGTAGAGACAGGGTTTTACCATGTTGGCCGGGCTGGTCTCAAACTCCTGACCTCAAATGATCCACCCACCTCGGCCTCCCAAAGTGCTGATATTACAGGTGTGAGCCACCGTTCCTGGCCAGCTGGCAGATGAATTTGAAGAATTAGACTGGGGGCCAGAGGCTGAAGGGCCTTGTGAGGAGTTTAGATTGTATCATGAATGCAGTGGGTATCATCTAATGTGGCAAATTGGAAAATGACCTGATCAGATTTTAGAATAATAAAAATCAGTAACATCTGTTAGTTACTGTATATTATACTGTTATTAATAGTATTTAATACATGCTAGACACTACCTCATTTAATTTATCTGATTAAATCTTCACAGCCATGTAAGGAAGGTACTTAATAATATTTCCTAAGTTTACAGATAAGGAAACTAAGTTAGCTCAAGATAACTGATTTTTTTTAAGTAGCAAAACTAGGACCCAGTGCCAGGTTTGGCTTATTCTAGAGCCTGAGATCATACATTTTCAAATGCTTAATCAATAGACATTGACTGACATCTGCTGTATAGGAGGCACTCTGCTAGGCTTAGCATTTGAGGAAACAAAAAGACATAAGAGCCTCTTTACTCACTAGGCCCAGCAGTGTAGCTGTAGAGACAGATAGCTTATGACACAGCGTGACAGTACCATGTGTTATGCACTAACAGCCAGGAGAATATGTTAAAGAGAGCAGTTACTTTTTCTTCTCGTGTGTGTATATATGTGTGTTGGGAACAGGAGACAGATGAGGCTTCACAGAATTGATGATATTTGGGCTACATTTTAAAAGAATAAATAGGATTTCACCAACTGCTCAACCTCTCTCTTCATTTCATAACCAATACTTTAAAAAGAGAAAAGTCCTCATATACTAATTTTCATTTCCTTGTATCCTATTCACTACTCAATCTTCTGTCTTCCAGTTTCCCTTTCCACCATTCCACTAAAACCTTTCAGGCAAAATTCACCAAGGAACTAATTGGCCAGTTGCCAAATCCTGTGGCTACTTTGAGTCCCCATCTTCTGCCACCTCTCTGTGGAACACAGTGAATACTTCTTAAACCCTCTTCCCCCCTCGTTGTCAATTCACCATTCTCACTGGTCTTGCTGACTCTTTACAAGTTCCTTTGCTGCCCATCTCTTCAGTACTGGTGTGCAACACAGCACCATCCTGCATGTCTGTTGTCCCCTTTCCCCTTTCTCCACACTCTCTCTGATGCCTTGCCACCTGTGCCCATGTCTTCAGTTGTCATCTCTACGCTGAGGACTCCCACATGTGGCTGCCCCTCTTCTGAGCTTCACATCGGTTCACCCAGCTGCCCACTGAACTCCTCGACTTTGACTTCCCATATTGGTTTCTGTTCTTTGGTTGCATGTAATAGAAATCTGACTCAGAATAGTTTAAACAGTAAAGGGAAACATAAGAGTAAAAGAGGTGGGTCTTAGAGAATTGAAGCTAGGGATATAACCAGGACTTAAGAAGAAACCAGAGGCCGGGCGCAGTGGCTCAAGCCTGTAATCCCAGCACTTTGGGAGGCCGAGGTGGGCAGATCACGAGGTCAAGAGATCGAGACCATTCTGGCCAACATGGTAAAACCCCGTCTCTACTAAAAATACAAAAATTAGCTGGGCATGGTGGCGTGCGCCTGTAGTCCCAGCTACTTGGGAGGCTGTGGCAGAAGAATTGCTTGAACCTAGGAGGCGGAGGTTGCAGTGAGCTGAGATTGTACCACTGCACTCCAGCCAGGCGCCTGGTGACAGAATGAGACTCTGTCTCAAAAAAAAAAAAAGAAGAAGAAGAAGAAACCAGAACTAGAAACCAGAAGCTCCAGGAATTTCAGGAAGTCTTCATTTCTCTTTTTCTGTGTGCATCTTTTCCTCTATCTCGATGATAGGTATGGCCATCCCTTTTCACAGTTTCTTAAACAGTTCTGCCACATTGACATTAACAATTATCTTTCTATACATTTTTAAATTCCTAGGCAACTGATCTTCCCTGGTCAGCTGTCAGAGGTGGGAGGGAAGGTGCAGCCACACAGTACAAATGTGGCTCCTAGAAACCAGAGCAGTTCTCAGGAAAAAAGAGAAAGGCCTCTGGGCCAAGCAGATACCCAAGAGACTCTCTCATGTAGGTGCCTGCAACTCTATACACCCAAAATTGAGCTTATCTTTTCTGCCTAGCTGTTCTTTCTCTAAAACCAAATACAGTATTTCTTTACCTATCCTCACCTAAATGGCTTATCATCTTAAGAGTTCCCATTTCACTTCTTCATGGAAATTTTCCTAGAATTGAAGTTGTAGTTGCCTTCTATTCGTGCTTCTTTCACCCCTTAATCTGCTTCTGTAGTAGCACAAGTCTGTCCACTTGTCTACATTCTTCTGTCTTGACCTGTGCCTTTTTTATCTGAATTATTAGAGTTGCCTGCTAATGGGTTTTCCTGCTTTTAGCCTTGCGCTCTTAGTGTACCCTCTACACTGCAGCCACAGTGATCCTTCTGAAGTACCTTTCTGATCATATCACTCCTCAGCTTTGAGGTCTCTCTATTCCTTACAGTCTAGGGTGGAAAGTGACCATCAGTGAAGGCGCCATTGAGAGTTGCCCATTGAGCTGGGGTCTGAAGGGTAAGTGAGGCTGTTGGTTGTAGGAGCAGGTACAACTATATGTCTGTGTGACATTCCTTGGTGTTACGTAGTATTCTAAAGCTCAGATGGTTCCCTGTAAGCAACTCTCTCCCTCTCATAGTCAACCAGCCTTCTCTGAGTTCTTTGCTTTGCAGAGCTGTCTATGCTACCAATTGTTTCTTCCTGTAGTCAGCTCTGCCCAGTCTAGTCCTGCTTAGCCCAACCATACTGGGCCAGTAGATTGCTTAAACAACCATTCTTTTCTCTGTAGGCTCATGAGCGCTCAGAGAGCTCGGAAGTGGCTTTTGTGATGCAGCTGGTGAAAAAGCTGATGATTGTCATTGCCCGCCCAGCACGTCTACTGGAATGCCTGGTGAGTGGACTCTAGGAAAGTCGGATGGGCAGATTTGGAGGAGGGCTATAGAGGAAGTAGCCTGCTGACAGCAAAACTGTGGTGGCACCCACCACCATTTCTGTTGCTTAGTCCTTATTTAAATATGCTTTGCGAGCACTGGGGGGACTAAACAGGTTTCTGTGAGGACAAATGTATGGTCCTGAGGGGATGCGGCAGGAAGGAGTATTAGTCTAGCCCACCCCAACATGAGCAGGGCTCACATCAGTGGGGGCCTTGGGGGTAAGGAGCGTCGGGAGCATAGCCCAGTTTAGTCTGCACAAGTTGAGTCCTTCATTTAAGTTTGAGCGATACTTTACTGAGTACCTACTTCATGCTAGACACTGGAGATACAGACATGAATAAAGCACAGTCTCTGATCTCAGGATGTTTCCTCTACAGTGTGGTTGGGGAGCATGAGGCATGAGGACATGTAAATAGTAATTATAATAACTGCAAGAAGTGTTATAGCTGAGTTCAGTACACGGCACACCGGGAACCTAGAAAAGGCAGTGCTTTAGTCTTCCCTCGAAGAACATTCAGTGAATGCTCCTGGGGGACATGATATCAGCAAAATCCCAGATAAGGAACATGGGAAGGAGCATTCAGTGGGGCACAGCGTGGGTTTGAAGAAGTGCTGAGGGGTAAGCCTGGAAGGTAGGTTGTGACAAGGTCATGGAGGGTGTTGGGTTCTTAGCTCTGGAGTTTTGCGTTACTCTTATGGCCACTTGGAGGCACCAGAAAATTTAGGTGAGAATGTGACACTGTCACATTTACTTTTTTCTTAAACAATATTATTAAGATGTAATTTACATAAAGCCGGGTGCGGTGGCTCACCTGCCCGGCTTTATGTAAATTATATCTTAATACATAATCCCAGCACTTTGGGAGGTCAAGAGATTGAGACCACCCTGGCCAACATGGTGAAACCCCGTCTCTACTAAAAAATACAAAAATTAGCTGGGTGTGATGACACGCACCTGTAGTCCCAGGTACTCAGGAGGCAAGGCAGGAGAATTGCTTGAACCTGGGAGGCAGAGGCTGCAGTGAGCTGAGATCCTGCCACTGCACTCCAGCCTGACGCCTAGCAACAAAGCAAGACTCTGTCCCAACAATAACAAAAAAAGATACAGTTTACATACAATAAAATATATCCCTTTGATTATATCGAGATCCAACAAATATACACTTTTAGAATCATGGCCACAGCTGAGATAGAGAATATTTCTAAGTTCCTTTTTGCCCCTTTGAAGTCAGTCCTGTCTTTCTCCTGCTCCTAGATGATATCTTACCTGCTTTGTTTCACTAGGGATGGGTTTGCCTTTGGTACAGTTTCCTAGAAATGAAACCATGTTTCTGTGTGGTTTCTGTAGTACGTACTGACTTCTTTCACTCTGCACGTTTGTGGAAATTCATACATGTTGTTACATGTATCAGTAGTTGGCTCCTATTTATTTCTGTGTAAATATTGCATCAGATTTGGTCCTAAGAAAGATTACTTTGGCTGCAACATGGATAGTGAATTGGAAGACAGGGCAAGATAAGCCAGGGACATCAGGGCAGAGGCACTCAAAGCAATTCATGTGGGATGGGGTGGCCAGAACTCAGACATTGAATGGTAGTGTAACAGAGAGAAAGAGGTGGATTAGAGAGGTATTTATGAGAGAGACATTCTGACCAGATAGGAGCTAAGGAAGAATAAGAAGTTAAAAGGACTTCCAGGTCTGGCTTAGGTTATATCCAGATAGGTACAATTCTCCAAAACAGTGAGACCACAGGGAATGAGAACAAAGTTCAGAGCTACTGCTGTGATCGAGCAGAGAGCCTTTCCCTCAAGAACATGAAGTGCTTGGCTGAGCAGGGACTTGGAGTAAGACCTGGACTGAATGCTGGTTTTCTGTTCCTTCCTACCTCTGTGATTATGGACACATCAGTGCATCCCTGTGAGCCTTGATTTCCTCAGTGAGATCAATGAGTTGCTAGAGGGTTTAACCCAGTGTGTGGCCCTTAGTAGGCATTCAGTTATTATGTGCAGACAAGGACTATGCTTTTCAATGGATCTCCAGCCTCTAGCACACAAGAAATGCCTGATAAATATTTGAAGGTTATGCATGCACCAGTAGGACTGTGCCAAAGCTCTTATGAGCCTTAATTGAGTGTGTACCAGGACTGCTCTGGACTGGGCATCTGAACACACCTGACAGTGACACCTGGCTGATAGAAGGCATGGGAGATCAATAGGCTGAGCTCTCTTGAAAGTAAAACCTCTAGTTCTTATTGCCAGGAAGGCAGCGTATGCTGAGCATGTCCAATCTGGAGGTGACCTGGTTGACAACTTTGTTCCCATTCCTGTGATCCCCGAATCATGTTGTTTCTGAGCATTCAGGGGTGGGAGTGTCCCATCACAGAGAAAATCTTGTTCATCTCACTCTACTAAATGCTGTAAAACCAAAGAGGCCAACAGCCTTCACTTTTATCTGTCACCACTGACTACCTCTCTCCCTTTGTACAGGAGTTTGACCCTGAAGAGTTCTACCACCTATTAGAAGCAGCTGAGGGCCACGCCAAAGAGGGACAAGGGATTAAATGTGACATTCCCCGCTACATCGTTAGCCAGCTGGGCCTCACACGGGATCCCCTAGAGGGTAAGCATGCTGCCTGGTGGCTGCAAAGAGGCCCCATTGCTGCTGGCAAGCTCTAACAGCAGGGAAGCTGCTTGGAGAAGAGACTTAGCTTGGACATGGACACAACATGGCCCCATTGCCTCAGGATTTTGGGTGATACACTGTGATCTCTGTGACAAAACAGCCTTTCCTTTGGAACTGCTGTTCACATTTACCTGACAGATCCCAGCCTGGATTGTGTCGGCCTGGCTGAGTTGCATTTAGAGCCTCAGATCCAAAGAGGTCAACAAAAAAGGGCCACAATCATATTTGCAAAAATGGTCACCTCCTCTGCAACTTACCTCTCCTCTTGGCCACCTTACAGATCTTCCTGTGTCTTTGGGGTGGTCCAACACAGGGCTTCAGAGGATATCGCCATTCTTCTGGGTTTCCTGCTGAACTCCTGCAGGAACCATGGGCTTCCAAGTCCCTGGTCTGCAGGTATCCTGCTCCTGCCTTCTGTGCTTCCCAGCCCCATCCAGTGAAGCAGTCTTAGCCAGCAGGATGGGAACTAGTAGCCCAGATTCAGGCCGTTTTTCAGGAAATGACCCAAGTTTATAGAATTTGCCAGACCCTGTGAATGGCAATGGACTTCTAGAAATGGGAGTAGCAGTAGGATTTGGTTTGTTTCCTGCTCCAAAAGCTGGGACTACATTGGGTATTGTGCCACAGGACTGAATTCACATCCCAGGCTGATGCAGAAAGCATTAATGCCTACCCTACATGCACCTGTTGTATGATCTGAGGGTACTGCTGAGATACCTGACATTGCCACATGCATTCTTCTCTTGTCTTTGTTTTGTTTCCAGAAATGGCCCAGTTGAGCAGCTGTGACAGTCCTGATACTCCAGAGACAGATGATTCTATTGAGGTAAAACCCTGAGCTCCTGCCCCATTCCTGGACCCTGGGCCCTCTGAAGCAAAGAGCTATGAATTCTCTTTAAGAGAATATCTGAAGGAGGGATGGGGGTATTGGTGACAGCAAACACTGTCTGAGAAGTCATTCTATCCTGGAAGAATGGTCAGGAGAGTACGCTAGAGCTAAGAGCTGAGAAGGAGAAGATACTAGAGCCACAGCTTCCGCAAGGATATGGGCTCTGAGAAGCATGCCTGTCTCCTGCCTTTTCCCTTGTCTTCCAGGGCCGTGGGGCATCTCTGCCATCTAAAAAGACACCCTCTGAAGAGGACTTCGAAACCATTAAGCTCATCAGCAATGGCGCCTATGGGTAAAGGCAGGGGTGAGGGTATGGCCAGGACTGAAGACAGGTCAGCCCTTGATCTCTTCCATGTGAGAGTGTATGCTGCCCAGTCCTCTGCACAGATGCCTCAGGGTGGACTTTCTTACTCCCAGAAGCCTCCTGGGTGGGCAGGAGTTCAGACTCCTCTGACATCTGAGCATTGTTCCTTTCCCAGACAAGATTCCCACCCCTCTTACTGCCATGCATCCTCCTCTCCCTGAGCTCTGGGGAAGCATTGAGCCGTGCCATCAGGACATGGTCTATCAGGAAGTTTAGAGTTTTGTGGGCCAGGGGGTTCCAGATCCTTCTCATTGATATGCACACCCCTGCACCTTTGTTCTATGCATTAATTAAGGTTTGAGAGAAGGCAGTTTGGGTGGCAGAGAGCACAGCTCAGGTGCTGAGGGTCCATGTTGGGCCGGACTGTGTTTCCCAGGGCTGTATTCCTGGTGCGGCACAAGTCCACCCGGCAGCGCTTTGCCATGAAGAAGATCAACAAGCAGAACCTGATCCTACGGAACCAGATCCAGCAGGCCTTCGTGGAACGTGACATACTGACTTTCGCTGAGAACCCCTTTGTGGTCAGCATGTTCTGCTCCTTTGAGACCAAGCGCCACTTGTGCATGGTGATGGAGTATGTTGAAGGTACTGAGGCAAAGGTGGCCTGGCACAAAGGCCAAGGCACAATCTGAGACTTAGCCTTAAACAGGGACCAGCAGCTTTGTACAGAGGTGAAGTTTCAGGGCCCAGCTTTCCAGTCCCTCTTTGGTATTGCTTTCAGCCTCAGGATTACTGAGACCATTTGGCCATGGTGGGCACAAAGCTCCAAAGCTCCCTGCCTCTACCGTGAGAGGCACTCTGGAACAGGATGTAGCAGGCCAGCAGCTATAGAATGTTGCACCCCAAAGCCTGCAAACCCTCTACTGCTGGTATCAGATAGCAACAAAGGAAGCAGCAGAGCAGCAAAAGCCCAGGATTGAGTGCTAGGAGGATTGCATCTGGACCCTCAGAAGAAAGGAAAGCCATTAATCACCCTGACTGGCTTGCAAAGGGGACACCCCTTAAAACCATGTAAAATGCTCTGGGAGTAGAACAGAAGAGCAACACAGGTCATAGTTCTGGAGAGGGGCAGCAGCTTTGCCAGTGGCCTTCCCTCTCACCTTCTCACTGTGTGTACAGCTTCCAAAGATATTGTGCCTACGCCTTGAGGCTGAAGCAAAACAAAACTCTGTTAGTGTTTAGTGGGTACATGCTGGGAGTTTATAGTGTTACTTTAATCAGAAACTAAAAGAAAGCCAATAAGAAGGAAGTAAAATGAACAAATGCTAATGTCTCGGCCAGATGTGTTTATAGTATACAGTATTCCTGTCCTAAAATAATTAGGTTGGTGCAAAAGTAATTGCATTTTTGCCATTACTTTTAATAGAGGGCTGGGTTCCTTCCCTCTCTGACCTGAAAAATGGCCTTGACAGCTATCAGCAGATTCACTTTACTTTCCACCCTCCTCCATACCCTGTGTATTAGTCCATTTTCACACTGCTAATAAAGGTATACCAAAGACTGGGCAATTTATGAAAGAAGAAGGTTTATTGGAGTTACAGTTCATTGTGGCTGGGGAGGCCTCACAATCATGGCAGAGATAAAAGGCATGTCTCACATAGTGGCAGACGAGAGAGAGCTTGTGCAGGGAAACTCCCCTTTATGAAACCATCAGATCTGCTGGGCATGGTGGCTCACAAGTGTAATCACAGTACTTTGGAAGGCAGAGGCAGGCAGATCACCTGAGGTCAGGAATTCAAGAGCAGCCTGACCAACATGGCAAAACCCCGCCTCTACTGAAAATGCAAAAATTAGCTGGGTATGGTGGCACACACCTGTAATCCCACCTACTTGGAAGGCTGAGGCAGGAGAATCCCTAGAATCCAGAAGGCAGAGGTTGCATTGAGCTGAGATTAAGCCACTGTACTCCAGCCTGGGCGACACAGCGAGACTCTGTCTAAAAAAATAATAAATGAAAATAACCATCAGATTTCATGAGACTTATTCGCTATCATGGGAATAGCATGGGAAAGACCCACTTTTATGATTGAATTTTCTCCCACTAGGTTTCTTCCCACAACACATGGGAATTATGGGAGCTATAATTCAAGAGGAGATGTGGGTGGGGACACAGCCAAACCATATCACCGTGTTTCCCACCCATGCCAGCAGCAAAAGGGCTAGAATAGAGTCCCCAGCACCAGGATATTCCATAAAGCTGTCTCCTCTGGGACCTCAGAAGCTGCTAGATGGGAACTGGCTAGAGTAGGGAACTGGATCCTTTCCTCATGGTAGCCTGGGCTTATTGCAGGGGGAGACTGTGCCACTCTGCTGAAGAATATTGGGGCCCTGCCTGTGGACATGGTGCGTCTATACTTTGCAGAAACTGTGCTGGCCCTGGAGTACTTACACAACTATGGCATCGTGCACCGTGACCTCAAGCCTGACAAGTATGTCTACTCTCTGTGTCCCTTGTCCAGGGTCTTCCTCTTGGGTCTCTAGATAAATGGCAGCAAGCACAGTAGATCTAAATGTATCCAGATGGCTTCTGGGAAACATGTCTCTGTGTGTGTCCATCTAGGCTTAGTTCTGTAGCCCCCTGACCCCAAATGCAAATCATTGCCTCAAGGTCTGGCTGGAGCATTATAAGGCTTCAGTGACATAAGAGTCACTGAGGAGCCCCACTGAAGAAACCAAGGAAGAACAAAAGAATAAGCACATGTAGATGGCTGAACAAGTGTGCTGACATTTACTGACATCTACTCTGTGCCAAGCACTATATTCTGGGTTTTAAATATAGTCCCTGGCATGTAGAAGTTAAGTCTACAGTGGGAGACAGAAATACATGTATATAGGCTTCTTCTCAGAGGGTATTAGTCAAGTGGAAAAGGGTAGGAGACCTACTTTCCAAAGCAGGAGAGCAGAATGTGCAGAGGCACACAGGTGCAAGAGAACATCACTTGTTCGGGAACTACAAATAGTACAACATGGCGACAGCTTAGATGGTGAGACAGTAGTTAAGAGAAAAGGTGAGAGAGGCAGGTGCTAGTTCATCAAGGGCCCTTTTGTTATATTTGACTTTTATTTTAAAGGGGCCTAGAGAATCTTCGAAGTGTCCGTTAACCAAAGATATGATAGAATGGCATACCCAGATTGTGGTTTAGGTTTAGAAAGCTTAGTCTACTGATGAAGAGCGATACTGAGACCAGGGCAAAGACAGCAATGCCTGCAGCAGAACAGGGAGCCAGGATAGAAAGAAGAGAGGTGTAGCATAGGGAAGAGGATCAGGTTAGAGTAGGAGTAGGAAGGGAAGCGAGGAAACAGGAGGCTGGGATGTCTTCCAGATTTCCAGCATGGGATTGTTGCAGGATGTTAAGCCTCTGTGGGAGAAAGTGGCTTTGACATTAAACAGACCTGAGTTCAAATGGCCATTCTTCTGCTTGTTAAGTCTGAGTTTGAGTCTATTAATTAAATTTCCCTGACCCTCACATTCCTCCTTTCTAAAATAGGGATAATTATACCTACCTTTGATATGTTACTCTAGAAAACCTTTCAGGGGCCAGAATATTTTTACAGCACCAAAGAGCTCGTAGGTAACGTAATTATTGTTTTTCACTGAGAAAGGGAACCAGTTGGGAGGTATGACTTTGTTTTGGACAGGTTGAATTTGTGGTGCCTGAAAGACATATGGGCAGTTGGGTAGGCCTGGAGCTCAAGAAGGAAGTCAGGGCCAGAGGTACTATTTGGGGAATCATTAGAATAAAAGGGTGGCAGGGTAAAGCCTTCAGCACAAAATGAGTGGCTCAGGCAGAGTATATGAAGGGATCTTAGTTTCTCCCAACCAACCCTCCTCCTAAGACCAGCCATTTATATGATACAATATTATGTGCCCCCTGCCCCTCTCCCTGAAACAGGAGTATTATGGGCCACTCACATCAGGAGAGGAGACTAGGAATGGCTACAGCAGCTGCCTTAGGATGAGGCTGAGCTCAGTTCTGTAGAAGAAACTCTTCCTCAACTGAATGATTCCTACCCCCAATATAGAATACAGTTAGGGCAATAAATAGAAATGGAGTTGTGGGAATGGGCAAAAGGCAGATTTGTTGCTTGTGTAGGACGTAACACTCACATAGCCAGAATGAATTACTTTTTCACACCTGCCTGTCCCCCTGCTGAAGGTGTCTCACAGTACCCCCATGGAAGCCTGAGTGGGGAAATTGGGCATATACTAAAATCAGTACTCTCGGAAAACCAGGAATAACTTCATAATTTTGTGTCTCCGGTCTCCCAGCCTCCTAATTACATCCATGGGGCACATCAAGCTCACTGACTTTGGACTGTCCAAAATTGGCCTCATGAGTCTGACAACGAACTTATATGAGGGTCATATTGAAAAGGATGCCCGGGAATTCCTGGACAAGCAGGTAAGGAAGGGTAGTTGATGTATTGGGGATTAAATTCTAGGCCCTTGGCCTGGTGCAGTGGCTCACGCCCATAATCCCAGCCCTTTGGGAGGCTGAGGCAGGAGGATCACTTGAGGCCAGGAATTCAAAACCAGCTCTAGACAACATAGTGAGACCCCATCTCTACATTTGTACACATATACATACATTCCAGGCCCTAGAAGAAGGCCCTGGGGCCATATGCCTACCTTGTAGCTAGATGTTAAGATTGGGGAACCCCTATCTTTTCTACCTTTGAGTTCCAGAGAGGCATTGATATAGGTAGCACATTTGGAAAACAGGATGAGCCATGAGAATCATATGGATATAAAATCCAGTCATCCTCCTCAGGGTTTGGAGAAAATAGGTCATGTAACTGTTAGCACAGAGTTTCATCTGAGATCAGTCCCAAATCTCCCAGCCTGAGTCAAGGACAGCGCTCTTCTGGAGCTTGTGGTTCTTGGAATATAGCTCTGAATTTCCACTGGGCTATGGCCCAGAGTCCTGAGAGGCAGCCTCTGAATGTTCCCTGGTTTAACATTTCAGGTTGTGACTGTTCACCAGTCCCTGTAGTAGTTATGTGACTCGTAGGGTCTGTTCTGTTAGAGGCTAGAGTGCAGAGACCAATTGTGGGATCACATGCCAGAGGTGGGTGTTGAGGGCTTAAGGGATGGTAGTTCCAGGCTAGAATGAGACTTTTTTGTTAATTAGGAAATACCAACCAACAGTTCCAGCTCTTGTCCCCTGTTGATCTTATTCAGGGGCTCCTGTTGATCAACAGGGGCTCCTGTTGATCTTATTCATTAACTAAGGTGGGCTGAGTCTTCATTCAGAGACTCTTCTGTTCCAGAGGTGGGAGCATCCCCCCTCTCCAGCTGTCATGCCAGTGAGCAGCCTCAGGAGGCTAAGCCAGCCTGGCCTTTCTGTGCCCAGGTATGCGGGACCCCGGAATACATTGCGCCTGAGGTGATCCTGCGCCAGGGCTATGGGAAGCCAGTGGACTGGTGGGCCATGGGCATTATCCTGTATGAGTTCCTGGTGGGCTGTGTCCCTTTTTTTGGAGATACTCCGGAGGAGCTCTTTGGGCAGGTGATCAGTGGTAGGTACTCTCCCCCTGGCCCAGTGGGGAAACAGTGTGGATCCACAAATATGATGTATGCCAGCAGCTTGTGAGGCCTGTGAGCTCTTGTTCTGAACTCACGGTGTGTGTGTGATGTCTGCTGCTTTGGGGGCGGTGTGTCTGTGCTTCTGCCTGTATATACATGTGCATGCTGTGTCCCTGGGGCTTCACATCTCTCCCCTCTATACCTGTGTGTTCCTGTTTGTTTGTGCACATCCCATGAGTGTGAGGGGTTTGTGTGTGTATTTTGTGGAATATAAAAGCAGGGTAAGCTGGAGCTTCAGGATAGGGGAAATGACTGTTTCGCAGTGCCCACTTTGGATCAAAGATCAAGCCATGGTCTAGGAACCTATAGAATGTAAGGACTGGGATCTCAGGTGAGGCTTTTGGGGCTCCTGGCTGGGCCCTTTTAGCCTCCTTTCCTTACACTGTCCTGGGACCCTCTTCTCCATCTCTCCACTCTACCCACAATTTCTCCTTTCCCTCTCACCCCTGATGACTTCAGATGAGATTGTGTGGCCTGAGGGTGATGATGCACTGCCCCCAGACACCCAGGACCTCACCTCCAAACTGCTCCACCAGAACCCTCTGGAGAGACTGGGCACAGGTAGGACAGGCCCCGCTAACTTTTCTCACTACTTGGAAAAGAGGTAAGGGAGGCTGGAGGGGCTTCAGTTATGGGCAGCCCGTCTGGATCCTGAAACTCTGCCCTGCTCCCTGTAGGCAGAGAAGGGAAGACGCTTGAGCTGACCGCCTAGGTATAGCTTCTCAAGGTCTGGCTTCTTACTAGATGTGCTGACCTGGACTCTATGCAGCTCATCCCACCCCCTTGCCCATGCCCTCCCTGTCCACAGGAGGTGCCTATGAGGTGAAGGAGCACCCATTCTTTACTGGTCTGGATTGGACAGGACTTCTCCGCCAGAAGGCTGAATTTATTCCTCAGCTGGAGTCAGAGGACGATACTAGCTATTTTGACAGTAAGGCCACCAATTGTTGGGATAGAGTATGGGTGCTACTCATTTGCCTAGAAATGTGCACATTGAACTTGGCATTGAGAGCAACTTCTCAGGGCTCTGCTGAAATCTAATGGGGTCACAAGGAGGCCACCAGGAGGACTCTGAAGTGGCCTTTATGTCTGTCCCAGCCCGCTCAGAGCGCTACCACCACGTGGACTCAGAGGATGAGGAAGACGTGAGTGAGGATGGCTGCCTTGAGATCCGCCAGTTTTCCTCCTGCTCTCCAAGGTTCAGCAAGGTGTGACTGAGGAGACCCAGAATGGGCAGAACAGGCTGGAGAATCAGAAGAGGCCCTGTCAAAGGGCACACCTGGGGCAGGCTCAAGGATTGGGGATGGGGCCACCTCTAGAAAAAGAGGAGCAGAGGACTGGGGCTCCATATAGCTATATATAGGTGCTTCTAGAACCACTGCAGCCCCTGACATGAGATGCCAGGTCAGATCAGTGGAATAACTGCTTCCCCAAATATTCAGCAGGGATGTGTGGAGGAGGGAAGGAGCCGACTGGCTCCAATTCCTGGGTTTCCGATGCCAAGGATGCGTTTTGACACTTGGGAGGTACGGATGCCAGAGCCCATCCCCAATACATCCCCTGTCCCCACAGGTATACAGCAGCATGGAACGGCTCTCACTACTGGAAGAGCGTCGGACGCCACCCCCGACCAAGCGCAGCCTGAGTGAGGAGAAGGAGGACCGCTCAGAAGGCCTGGCGGGGCTCAAAGGCCGAGACCGGGGCTGGGTGATCGGCTCCCCTGAGATGTGAGTACACAGAACTCACCTAGGGTGCAGCTATCCCTGCATTGTCACAGATGATGAGACAGATTCTGATGCTGGGGAAGAGTGCAGGTGGCAGTGAGGGGGCATTCATAGGGTGGCTCCTGGAGGAATGTCTGCAGAGGAGAGTTCCATTACTATAAGCCTTGTGTGTCCCAAAGGAGGCCTGGTGGCAGGAGGGGGACCACGTGGGCCATCTCACCCCAGGCCTTGTGTCTCATAGATTACGGAAGCGGCTGTCGGTGTCTGAGTCATCCCACACGGAGAGTGACTCAAGCCCTCCAATGACAGTGCGACGCCGCTGCTCGGGCCTCCTGGATGTACCTCGGTTCCCTGAGGGCCCTGAGGAGGCCAGCGGCACTCCCAGGAGGCAGCTGCAGGAGGGTGTATGGTTCCTGACACCCCTTTCTGGAGAAGGGATATCTGGGCTTGTCCCTGAACGCTCTGGGGAGCAGCGGCTGAAGCTGGATGAGGAAGCTGTTGGACGGAGCAGTGGTTCCAGTCCAGGTATGGCCCAGTGGGTGGCCAAAGGACCTAAGCTGGAGGATACTGCAGGGCAGGAGTCTCAGCGGCATCACGGGTCTCACTGCTCACTTGGGCCCACAGCTATGGAGACCCGAGGGCGTGGGACCCTGCAGCTGTCTGAAGGAGCCACGGCCAAGGCCATCAGTGACCTGGCTGTGCGTAGGGCCCGCCACCGGCTGCTGTCTGGAGACTCTACAGAGAAGCGCACCACTCGCCCTGTCAACAAAGTGATCAAGTCTGCCTCAGCCACAGCCCTCTCGCTCCTCATTCCTTCGGGTGAGGCCCCTGGGGAGCTGGGATAAAACTCACAGGAAGGGCCTTGGAATCTCTAGGCCTGTGGCAGGGTTCTGCACATGGCAGGTGTGTATGTGTGTTAAGCAGGGATCTCAGAGACTGTGGTCCCTGAAGGTGTGTATTGGTGTCTGGGTTTGTGTATACATGTGCCAGAAGGCAGGATAGCGCCATGTCACAAGTGCAGGCTTTGGGGCAAAGAGCTCATACTCAAATCCTGGCTTCATCACTAAAGGACTCTTGAGCTTGAGCCAGTTGCTTAACTCCTCTAAGCCTCCAGTTTCTCATCCAAAAATGTGGACTTAATAGTGGCCAGCCCATAGGTTAATTGTGACATTTAAATATGTGTGACGAGCTTGTATAGTCCCTGATATACACATAAATGCTTTTCTCATCACCTCATCTCAGGGCTGGATATGTGAGAGGGCTTCACAGGTCAGGGGCTGTGGGGAAAATGGACCTGGGCTCAGGTTCTATCTGCGACAAGAGGTGCTGAAATCAAGAACTGGACCGGGGGCTACGCTGGGAGCATGTCCAGGCCAAGGCCCTCTGACCCACTAAGTCCTGGCTTCTCCTTCTCCAGAACACCACACCTGCTCCCCGTTGGCCAGCCCCATGTCCCCACATTCTCAGTCGTCCAACCCATCATCCCGGGACTCTTCTCCAAGCAGGGACTTCTTGCCAGCCCTTGGCAGTGTAAGGCCCCCCATCATCATCCACCGAGCTGGCAAGAAGTATGGCTTCACCCTGCGGGCCATTCGTGTATACATGGGTGACTCCGACGTCTACACAGTGCACCACATGGTGTGGGTATGTCTCACCATCTAGAGCTGCTGTCTCCCAGCTTCATCACCCTTCCAGCTTCCCCTTCGTGGAGCCCATCTATCCCTGCTTGGGGGTCAAAGGGTGGTGGTGAAGGGAGTCACAGCTTAATGCGCAGAACCAGGCCCTATACTTCATGTTCAGGCTCCAGTGTGAGTAGTGTTCTCTTCTTGGTGCAGCACGTGGAGGACGGAGGTCCAGCCAGCGAGGCAGGGCTTCGTCAAGGTGACCTCATCACCCATGTCAATGGGGAAACTGTGCATGGGCTGGTGCACACAGAGGTGGTGGAGCTGATCCTGAAGGTTAGTGCTGGGTTTGCTACCCACATGGTCCCTGAATGACCTCAGCCTGTGAGTCTGTGACAGCCGTAAGGTAGTGGGTGAGTTGGGCGCACACACATCTACACTATGGATGTAGATACACACAGGCTAGGCACAGTGGCTCATACCTGTAATCCCAACACTTCGGGAAGCTGAGGCATGTGGATTACTTGAGGCCAGAGGTTCGAGACCAGCCTGGCCAACATAGTGAAACCCTGCCTCTAATAAAAATAAAAATTAAAAAAAAAAATGGCTGGGTGTGGTGGCTCACACGTGTAATCCCAGCACTTTCGGAGGCCAAGGCAGAGAGATCACCTGAGGTTAGGAGTTCAAGACTAGTGTGGCCAACATAGCAAAACTCTGTCTCTACTAAAAATGTAAAAATTAGCCAGGTGTGGTGGTAGGTGCTTGTAATCCCAGCTACTTGGGAGGCTGAGGCAGGAGAATCACTTGAACCCAGGAGGCAGAGTTTGCAGTTAGCCAAGATCGTGCCACTGCATTCCAGCCTGGGTGACAGCGCAAGACTTCATCTCAAAAAAAAAAAAAAAAAAGGCCTGGCGTGGTGGCTCACGCTTGTAATCCCAGCACTTTGGGAGGCTGAGGCAGGTGGATCATGAGGTCAGGAGTTCAAGACTAGCCTGGCCAATACAGTGAAACCCCGTCTCTACTAAAAATACAAAATTAGCTGGGCATGGTGGTGGGTGACTGTAATCCCAGTTACTTGGGAGGCGGAGGCAGGAGAATCGCTTGAACCCAGGAGGTGGAGGTTGCAGTGAGCCAAGATCGTGCAACTACACTCCAGCCTGGGCAACAGAGCAAGACTCCGTCTCAAAAAAAAAAAAAAAAAAAAAAAGATGAATGTACACACAGAACTTGAATGTGGCACAAAGAGTTTCCTCCACAAGGTAGCACCCTCGCTTTCTTAGGCCCAGGGATCCTTCTGAGCTGTGGGTATGGCTGCAGAATGGGACAGGTTAGCCTGTTCTCTACCTTCTCACCCTTAAATCACTTGGGCTCCAGTAGGAGCCATTCCTCGTCCGTGAAGACAGAATACAGGCCTGTACTTCAGATGTCTTGGTGCAGAGGCAAAAGCTGGAGCTGTAGCATAGCCATGCCACGGGGAAGGATTGGGGATGGAGAGGGGCAAGAATATGGCCTCCAGCTTAGCCTAGGCCTCATGCTGTGCTCCCCAGAGTGGAAACAAGGTGGCTATTTCAACAACTCCCCTGGAGAACACATCTATTAAAGTGGGGCCAGCTAGGAAGGGCAGCTACAAGGCCAAGATGGCCCGAAGGAGCAAGAGGAGCCGCGGCAAGGACGGGCAAGAAAGGTGAGTCAGGCACAGTCCAGAGGGTCTACTCTGGGCCACATGAGTGCTGTACATGCCGGGTGCCTTGGCCCTGGGCCCAGTGTGTGCTGTGCTCTCTGCACCAACACTGCCTTTGACCCTTATCCCCACAGCAGAAAAAGGAGTTCCCTGTTTCGCAAGATCGCCAAGCAAGCATCCCTGCTCCACACCAGCCGCAGCCTTTCTTCCCTTAACCGTTCCTTGTCATCAGGGGAGAGTGGGCCAGGCTCTCCCACACACAGCCACAGCCTTTCCCCCCGATCTCCCACTCAAGCCTACCGCGTGACCCCCGATGCTGTGCATTCAGGTATGAAGGGCTCCCTGCAACTCAGAGACAACCCCTGAGAAATAGGAAAGTTCCTAGGCTCTATATGCTCCTCACAGATCCCACTCTGAATCTGTCTTTCGGCCCATCCCCTGAAAGATCCTGAAGTCTCGGGGAGGAATTAATTGATGGGAAAGTGGGTATCTTGGTTTCTGGGACATCACAGGGCTAAGCCCTGTCTTGCCCTTCAGTCACTTCTAACAGCTAACACTGCTCTGCTTTTGTCTGTCTCTTTGTCTGTCTGTCTGTCTCTTTGTACAAAGTGGGGGGGAATTCATCACAGAGCAGCTCCCCCAGCTCCAGCGTGCCCAGTTCCCCAGCCGGCTCTGGGCATACACGGCCTAGCTCCCTCCACGGTCTGGCACCCAAGCTCCAGCGCCAGTACCGCTCTCCACGGCGCAAGTCAGCAGGCAGCATCCCACTGTCACCACTGGCCCACACCCCTTCTCCCCCACCCCCAGCAGCTTCACCTCAGCGGTCCCCATCACCCCTGTCTGGCCATGTAGCCCAGGCCTTTCCCACAAAGCTTCACTTGTCACCTCCCCTAGGCAGGCAACTCTCGCGGCCCAAGAGTGCGGAGCCACCCCGTTCACCACTACTCAAGAGGGTGCAGTCAGCTGAGAAACTGGCAGCAGCACTGGCCGCTTCCGAGAAGAAGCTAGCCACTTCTCGCAAGCACAGCCTTGACCTGCCCCACTCTGAGCTAAAGAAGGAACTGCCGCCTAGGGAAGTCAGCCCTCTGGAGGCGGTTGGAGCCAGGGGTATGCTTTCTGGCAAGGGAGCCCTGCCAGGGAAAGGGGTGCTGCTGCAGCCTGCTCCTTCGCGGGCCCTAGGTACTCTCCGGCAGGACCGAGCCGAACGACGAGAGTCACTGCAGAAGCAAGAAGCCATCCGTGAGGTGGACTCCTCAGAGGATGACACGGAGGAGGGGCCTGAGAACAGCCAAGGTGCACAGGAGCTGAGCGTGGCACCTCACCCAGAAGTGAGCCAGAGCGTGGCCCCCAGAGGAGCGGAAGAGAGTGGGGAAGAGGATACTTTCTCGTCCAGAGTCCTCAGGAGCCCTGGCCCAGTGGTCCCAGGCCTATTGACAGGGATTACACTGGGGCCTCCCAAAATGGAAGGTCCCAGTGGCCCCCAGAGGAGGCTCGGGAGCCCACAAACTGTTGAGGAAGCTGCCAGCTCCTCCTCTCCAGACCCCAACCTGGGTAAGTCTGGAGCTACAGACCCCATCCTTTCTGAAGGTTGCTGGAAGGCTCAGCGCCTCTACACCCAGGCACTAACAGCACTTTCTCCCAGCTCTTCAGGACTCGCCCCCACCAGCAGCCACTCTCCTCCCACCTCCACCTCTGGGAAGCTAGGCACGTGGTCCTGGAAATTCCGTATTGAGGGCCCAGAGAGGGCAGCCCCAAGCAGAAAGGCAGCCATGACAAGTGGGCTAGCCAACCTCCAGGATTTGGAAACAACTCCAGCCCACCCTAAGAACCTGTCTCCCTGGGAACAGGGGAAGACACAGTCACCTAGTGTCCCCAGACTGACCCATCCCCCTTGTGAGGATCCCAGCCAAGGCTGGCTGTGGGAGTCTGAGTGTGCACAAGTAAAAGAGGATCCAGCCCTGAGCATCACCCAAGTGCCTGATGCCTCAGGTGACAGAAGGCAGGACGTTCCATGCCGAGGCTGCCCCCTCACCCAGAAGTCTGAGCCCAGCCTCCTCTGGAGGGGCCAAGAACTAGGGAGCCATCAAAAACATCAGAATCTGGCATTGGTGCCAGATGAGTTTTTAAAGCAAACATAGCAGTTGTTTGCCATTTCTTGCACTCAGACCTGTGTAATATATACTCCTGGAAACCATCTTTATGTCTTGCTTGCTTTCCTTTGGTCAACCCACATGTAACTAGGTCCTGTGTTGCTGCTGGGAATATAGTGGTGAATAAACTAGTTTCCACCATCAGGGGAGGGCCATCTAACCCAGCCTGACTTCCCAAAGGCTGTGACATTTGAGCTCAAACATGAAGAATAGATGATAGGTAGTAGTTCACTGGGTGTGGAAGAGTGGAGGTTGGCTTAAGAAAGGATCTCCAGACAAAGTTTAGCACATAAAGTATACCTGGTATATTCAAGGGACCAAAGACAATTCAAAGTAGAAATGGGTCTAGCAAGTGAGGCAAGGGCTATGTCTACTGGTCGTCCAGGAGATCTGACTTTGTGAAGGTGATAGGGAACCAGAAAATACCATGTAGCAACTAAAATTCCTTCTTTATAGGTAAGGGAACTCTGGCTTTCATGCCCATGGTAATACAGCATGGGTAGAACTGGAATTAGAACCTAGATCTCCCTTGTTCCAGAACTTATAGGTGTCTCCTAACTTGGAGTGCCTCAGCCAGGATAATGAGGAGAGGAAGAGGTGGGAAGAGGCAGAATTTAACTTTGGGTATATTTGAGATACAACCAGAAGAGAGTCATAAAGTCCACTGGAGGAAAGAGTTTTAAAATGGAGAAGTTAACTTGATAAAATGCAGAGATGAGGGTGAGATGAAAACAGAAAGCTGCCAATTGTATTTAGTAATAAGCCCCTTCCTGGGCTGTTGCAGGTAGGCCTCAGCACTGGCGGTGGACATCATGTGCATTCCTCACTGAGCAGAAGAACTTCATTTGATGGATAGTGTAGGAGGAAGGGGAAGATATAAATGGGACCAGTGCCAGGGGAGTCAGGAGGTGGCATCACAGGGCAGGCAGTGGGGCTTGGTAGAGTACCAAGGCTTTGAGTGTCTCTATAGTGATGGAGGACTTGAAAAACTGTCTTGCACTGGTTATTGCACTGATCATCTCACAATTCAGTGCCTAGGTCTGAAGAAGAGGCGCTAGGAGGCCTGGAGATGAAAATGCCTCTGGGCCATTGTCTGTTAAGGCTGTGGCCACCAGAGGGCACGCTGTATCCACAGTGGCAGAGCCTATCCAGCTATTTGGCCTCTCAGCCTTCTAGTCCTCTCTTCACTTCTTCATTCATTCACAGCAGAACCTGGGCTAATGTACTGGGACCTGGGCAGACAAGTCACAGGTTGTGAGCTGGAAGATGGCAGGGGCATGGCTGAGGGAGTGAGTGCCCCATGCATGTAGGGATCTGGTCAGAAGCACCGCACCACAGGTGAAAGGGACGTTGAGGACTGCCCTCCTAGAGGGTTGGAAATGGGAATGGGAGGAGGGAGTACAGAGACGCTAAACATCAAACATCCTGTACCCCATCAGGCAACTGCCCCAAGTGTCAGTGGTGTTCCCTTTGAGAAACTGGCGGTTTTATCCTGAGGGTAGTGAAGAATTAAGTGGTATTATCATTTGTTTTAGGAAGACCACTCTGGCTGTAGTATAGAAAGGCTGGAGTGGAGTGAGTGCACCACAGAGAATCATGCAGTGACCCATTTTGGTGGTCTGAACTAGGACAGCAACAGTGAGGCGGTAAGGAAGGAAAGGGTGGGAAGCTGTGACACCTAGATTTGGGAGCCATCAGGAAGTCGAGGGCAGTTAAAGCCACAGGCGATGAGGACTGTTCAGGGAACACGTGCAGAATGAGAAAGAAAAAAGGCCCGAGATACTGGCACTAGCAGCGGGGAGAGAGCCAGTGAAAAGAAGTTGAAGATGGGGAATGAGATCCTGAATCAGGGAGAAGCCAGACCATCTTATTTTGTAATTCACCCTAAGACAGCAGAGACTTATTTAACGTTTTACACAGGTTCAGACTAGTATTTTGAAAAGATGACTGGTTGCTATAATGAGAATGGATTTGAGGGGGACAAGAATGGAAGAAGGGAGCCTTCTAGGATTAAGGGCGCAGATGGTAGTGAAGTTAAAGTGGTGTTTTGATTGATATTTGGTGATGGCCTTCAGGTAGATATGAAGCAGAAGGCTATCAAGGATGACTAACTACATTTCTGACTTACATAGCTAGATACATTGTATTTCCATTCACTGAAGTATGAAGAGAACCAGGGCTGAGTAGTTCAGTGCTGCACTCCATATGTTAAATATGACGTAGCTTCTAGTGGAGGTCTTGGCAAGTGAAACAAACATGTCATCGTCCTAGAGATGGTAGGTGGATTCATGGCTGTGGATAAAACTGCCAGATGAAATGGCCTTGAGAGCTCAAGGAATCCAGTAGATGTAAAAGGAACAGTCAGATGTCAGCAGAATATGACATTGAGTCTTAATAGGGTCCATGAAGGACCTTTCTATGGAGAGGATAGTTAACAGTGATGGTTATTGAAGACATTAAGAAAAGCGGTTTCAGGCCGGGCGTGGTGGCTCAAGCCTGTAATCCCAGCACTTTGGGAGGCCGAGGCGGGTGGATCACGAGGTCAAGAGATCGAGACCATCCTGGTCAACATGGTGAAACCCCGTCTCTACTAAAAATACAAAAAATTAGCTGGGCATGGTGGCACGTGCCTGTAATCCCAGCTACTCAGGAGGCTGAGGCAGGAGAATTGCCTGAACCCAGGAGGCGGAGGTTGCGGTGAGCCGAGATCGTGCCATTGCACTCCAGCCTGGGTTAACAAGAGCGAAACTCCGTCTCAAAAAAAAAAAAAAAAAAAAAAAAGGCGGTTTCAAACAGTGGTAGAACCGGTACTGAAATGTTTGAGGTGAGGAAATTAGGACATTTAGACAGCTCTCTCCAAAGGCCTGGCTTTGAAGAGGAGAAAAGAGATAAAGGGATGTGGAATGATTGAGGAGGGATTGGGGGAGTAGAATGAGAATCATGTTTAGATGTCAATGGGGATGATCCAGTTGAAGTAGAGAAAGAATCGATCATTAATCTTGGGAGATTCCTGAGGTGGAAGAAAACAGATTCCAAAATACATGTGGAGTAATTGACTAGCTGGAGGGTACTTTTGTAATTTAACAGGTGGGAGGGAGAATAGTTATGTAGATATAGGTAAGTTTGTAGGTTCGGTGGTAGGAAGGTAAGGGAATTCACAGCCAACCATACTTTTTCTGCCAAGTAAAAAGTTTTTTGTTTTGTTTTGTTTTGTTTGAGGTAGAGTCTCACTCTGTTGCCCAGGCTGGAGTGCAGTGGTGCAGGCTTGGCTCCCTGCAGCTTGTGCATTCCGGATTCAAGTTCTTGTGCTTCAAGCCTCCCGAGTAGCGGGCATTACAGGTGCATGCTACCATGCCTGGCTAACTTTGTACTTTTAGTAAAGACGGGATTTCGCAGCATTAGCCAGGCTGGTCTTGAACTCCTGACATCAGGTGATCCACCCACCTCGGCCTCCCAAAGTGCTGGGATTATAGGTGTGAGCTACCATGCCCAGCCCCAAGTAAACAAGTTTAAACCTCAGAGCCCAGTGGAAACATCCAGCTGGCAGGTAGAGTTCAGAAGAAAGAACTGGGAAGAAGAAAAAAGAATTTGAGCATCCTAAACACAGAAGTGGGAACAACTCTGAGGAGAAATCATCCATAGTTCTAGCAGTGGTCTTGGGGGAGGCTGTGTATCATCTAAAATGTAGTGGGGAGAAAAGACATAGGGAAGGTCACTTAGAAAACAGACTGTTCCCTGCTCAATCTATTTGTAATTGAGCACACATGGCCTGAGACTTGGACGAGAGCTGCAATGTCCTATGCAACAAGAGGTTATGTTTGCTCATTACATTCCCAGAATATAATGGAACCTCAGCAATGTGCAGGAGATGACAAGGGCCTGGGGGCAACAAGACAACAGACTGTAACGCTGGGCCCATTTCCCCCTCCCCAGAGTAGAATGTGGAAATACTTTTAATTCTGGGCAGAAATATATAAGAACCAATAAAGTGGGCTTATTACGAGTGGGTGGTGAGGTGTGGAGGAAATGGCTTTCAGATTTAGTTTTCTCAGAGTCAGTATCTGAGACTCCCTGTGTCCTGTGGACAGGACTCTGGCATGCCTAGTTGGAGTCAACATGCTCTCCTAGGAAGAAGAGAGCCTCCTGTTGCCCCAGTTCAACCCTAGTACTAGGTCTTTTGGTGCTTGCTTACTGGAGAGAAGGTTCGAAAGTTTCAAGGGCTATTCATCACCTGAGTACTCCTTTCTCTCTTGAACTCCACTCTGCCCCAGCCCACCCCTTCACAGCATGAAGACAAAAAAATTACTTTATTGCAATGTCTTTATTGCATTACTGGAGCAAGTTGGCCAGACTGTCCCCTCTTGGGGAAGGTATAAAACAAAAAGACCAGTAAGTATCTCCTCTCATCTTTCCCCTACCCTCCCCCACAATTGCACAGCAATGTCTGAACACATCTGGTGACAAGAACAATTTGCAAAGTGGTCTAGGAACTACATTATGAACTGTCCCATCACAAGACATACAGTTCGCTTTCTTGTGAGTCAGATATTTTTTACGTTAACTACATGAATTTTTTTGACTACATCAAAGACAAGATTTTTCACAAGTAACAGGGCACCAAAGTCACATGCTGGAATCTGTAAGGAAACAAGGTTGTTTGCCACAAGTGGCTGGAGCTAAAGCAGGGCTGAGCAGTTGGTAGCAGAGGGCCCAAGCAAGCCCTGATCTGGACCCTCTGGTTTCTGAGGCCACTGAAGCCTCACAGAGGGCTGCTCTGGGTTCTTAACTAGCAGCAGAGACCACCTTAGGAAACAGGAATTGCCCAGGTGCAATTCTCAGTTTAAGAGAACACATGGGGCTGATTACTTGCAGCAAAGAGAGGAGACCCATGGAAGACACCACATTGGCTCTCAAAACTTCAAAGCACATGAGGCCTAAATTAAGTGGGAAGTCCCATCAAGGCTTGGAGAGGGAGTGAAAGTGTTGGGAGGTCCTCATTCTTGGGCAGATCAGTGGGAAGAACACAGACAGCCTATCCAGGCCC